GCTGCAGATCTTAAATTATGCAACATAGTTTTGGGTTTGTTAGGACATGGGTGAAAATATTCATGTTTATTTTTTGATGGTGATAAAACCAATCTTGGAGAACTGAGAACCTTTAATATGCTCAAGAACACGTATAAAAACTTTGCTGAAAGTGGATTTAAAAAAAGCTCTATGCAACTCTATAAAAATATTATACATCCATGTCTCCTGGTTGAGTCTGGATGTGCTTGATGTCATCCCTCCTCCTGAACTTCATTGAATGATGATGATTATAACAGAAATTTTAAATGTCTTCTCTAAGGAACCTGATGGCGCTCTCTGGTTAAAAAAGCATGGAGTTATTTGGCATGGGTATAATGGAGGTGGACTGGATGGTAGAAATGCTAACAAAATACGAAAGCTTTTGCTAGATTTGGAAAAATTTATCTTAGATAACTTTTCTTCTTATTATCCAGTTGTTGAACTGTTAAAGTCTTTTTCTTCAGGTAAATTTTAAATATACTTAATTTTACAAAGTATTTATATATTAAAAGTTAATTATGATTTAAAAAGAAATATTTATTGAATCAAAAGCAATTTCTCACAAATGACACTAAAATTTACATTTAGTAGTAAACATGTGTTTCAGAATGAAACTCCATGACGGTTATGCTGATGCCATTGCAACATATATAAGAAAGTAAAAGGTAATAGTTACATAAATGCATAAACAACTCATACATTTAAAAATAAAGTTTTAATTTTTGTTTATATTTAACCATTTTTTAAATTATTAATTTAGGAAAACAAAGAGTATGTGAAGACTACATTCAACCACAATCTCTCTATGGGATGGAAAAGTCATACAATTAAACACCATCTTGTCATGTTTTTAAATAGAACTAAGCTCCCATTGGGAGTATTTTCTGAACAATATTTTGAATTTGTTCATCATAATATGTTGAAAAAACTAAGCAGATTCTCAACTTCAGAATTTAGAGAGAACCATGGAGAGCTTCTTAAAAAGGCAATAGTTGAATATTCAAGGCATAGAATTTAAGTTTTTTATTTTGCTATTGATTACACAATTATACATACTTGTATATTATATAGTTTTGAAGATTACATTAAATCAGTATATATTATGGATTATATTATACTGTTTCAGTATATTTTATATATTATATATATATATATATATATATATATATATATATATATATATATATATATATATATATATATATATATATATATATATATATATATATATATATATATTATATAAATATATATGTATATTATATATATATATATATATATTTTATATAAAAATATATATATATTATATATATATATATATATATATTATATATATATATATATATTATATATATATATATATATATATATATATATATACATTCATATATATATATATATATATATATATATATATATATATATATATATATATATATATATATATATATATATATATATATATATATATATATATATATATATATATATATATATATAGATATATATATATATTATATATTATATATATATATATATATTATATAAATATATATATATATATATATATATATATAAATATATATATATATATATATATATATATATATATATATATATATATATATATATATATATATATATATATATATATATATATAATGAATATGTATGCATCATATAAACATTATAATATATTGTATAAATCATGTATATATAAATAATTATACATCAAATTAATTACCAAATAAGGACGTCCTAAAGACGTCTAGTAAAAACGTCTTTGTTAGGACACCCTAGTGACGTTAATGTAAAGACGATATTAGGACTTCCATATTTAGACGTCCTATTGACGTCGCTAAGACCTACATTAGACGTCCTAATAACCTTAGAAATAAGTAGAAAAATTAATATTATCAACTTGGCGCATACAATATTATGCGTTAACTCGGTTAACTAAATATGTCACTTGTTTTGGTTGATTATTTTGAGATTAATAATTTTGTTTAGTTATTTATCGTTTAAAGATATTTTTTTTAATTTTCTATATTCTATACTCTATGATCTATAAACTATAAGTTATCAAGTGTAACTAAGTTACAAGTACAATGAGGGAATTTTAACAAAAGATATCAATATTGCACCAAGACTTTTCACTTTGTGTTTTATAAAAAGTAATAATATTTTGTGTGTCTGTGTTATATATATATATATATATATATATATATATATATATATATATATATATATATATATATATATATATATATATATATATATATATATATATATATATATATATATATGTATATATATATATATATATATATATATATATATATATATATATATATATATATATATATATATATATATATATATATATATATATGTATATATATATATATATATATATATATATATATATATATATATATATGTATATATATATATATATATATATATATATATATATATATATATATATATATATATATATATATATATATATATATATATATATATAAATATATATAACACAGACACACAAAATATTATTACTTTTTTATAAAACACAAAGTGAAAAGTCTTGGTGCAATATTGATATCTTTTGTTAAAATTCCCTCATTGTACTTGTAACTTAGTTACACTTGATAACTTATAGTTTATAGATCATAGAGTATAGAATATAGAAAATTAAAAAAAAAATATCTTTAAACGATAAATAACTAAACAAAATTATTAATCTCAAAATAATCAACCAAAACAAGTAGACATATTTAGTTAACCGAGTTAACGCATAATATTGTATGCGCCAAGTTGATAATATTAATTTTTCTACTTATTTCTAAGGTTATTAGGACGTCTAATGTAGGTCTTAGCGACGTCAATAGGACGTCTAATTATGGAAGTCCTAATATCGTCTTTACATTAACGTCACTAGGGTGTCCTAACAAAGACGTTTTTACTAGACGTCTTTAGGACGTCCTTATTTGGTCTGAGACGTCGCGACCTAGTTAAGACGTCCGTAAGACGTTTAATTGACGTCTAACGGACGTCTTAACTTTTTATTGTTATTAGTTAGTGCGTTTTGTAGATCTTAAAATAGACTATATTTTGTTGTTTTAAGAGATACAAGTCTTAATTTTTTTGGTTAAATATGTTTTAAAGTCCGTTGTTACCAAATTTTAGTTTCGCAGAATTACTATAAGCACCTTATAAGCGAAATAGTAAAGAGACATATTTTTGGCACTTTTCCCCACTTATTTTTCAGAATAAATTTAACAAATTTTATGTTGCTGTAATTCTGAAATGGATAAAAATGTTTTAAAAAAGTTTAGTCTTTCCTAACTTAAATCTTTAAACCTTTGTGCCAATTTTTTGCAAATTTCGTGATGTAGGGTACAACCCTTTGATTTTTAAAATAATTTTACTCTAAACTAATCAAAGGCATTAAGCGAAAAATTTTAATCAAAGTTTAAAATTCAAATTTACAGTTTTTACGCGTCACACACGTAACGCCTCTAATCAGTTCTTTTACTAACATGCGCAATAAACATAAATATGTTTACCTTGTATACTTGTAGTGAACTATTTTTTATAGCCCCTGATTTAAAAAAATGTTTGTACAAGAATCAGAAACGTAACGCGAGATACGCTTTAGTTTAGGTGGCGACATCGCTGTGTAAATAGTTCAGCTTTGTCAAGATTAGAAGAACTCTTTTATTATAATGGACGTCTGAGAAATGTCTTTTTTTTTTTTTTTTTTCTGACATGATTAAAGTGCTTTAGAATTTGCAATTATTTTTTGCAATTAGTTAAGTTAAGTTGTATCCAGGTGGCAGTACTAATTTGTCTGCTTTTAACATTTAAGGCATCGCATCAGATTTTGAAATCTTTTTATTCAAACTTTATGGACATTAGTTAACGAAAAGTTTTAAAATATTTTTCAAACAAAAAGAATTCTAATCAGCATAAAAGGCCTATAGTTTAACTTACTTTATAATTTCTCTCAAAATTCTCGCAAAAAAAAAAAAAAAAAAAAAAAAAAAGACAAAGTAAACGTTATAAATAAACATTAAAAATATGGTACTTGTAAAGATTGCAAAAAATGTATATATATATATATATATATATATATATATATATATATATATATATATATATATATATATATATATATATATATATATATATATATATATATATATATATATATATATATATATATATATATATATATATATAAAGAGAGAGAGAGAGAGAGAGAGAGAGAGAAAACATCATGTTTTCAGTGTTGATTTATAAAACACTTTAAGTATATAAATTTGGATATAAAAACATACAAGAATAATATTTGCATTATAGTTCTTTTGACTATTGATTTATTAACAAATGAAAACGTTTTTAAACAAAATTCAATCTTTCTTCATAATACCACAGTGAATTTATTGATTTACGCAATACTTTCAAAATTCTATTTCCAATTAAATAATAAATTTTCCTTTAACTTATTTTCATAATGACCATTGTAAACTTTAAAATTATCCTTCCTTTTTATTTAATACTTAACTACGTCATTCTAGTTTATAAAAGAACATTTGAATTAAGTAATATAATAGTGTAATTAAGAAAAGACAATTCTTTAAAAAAAAATTTTATAATATTTTAATAAACTCTTTAAACGCCGTAGGAAGCAAAACAAATATAAGTGCAGGTAATAGTTTTAATATGAAAACAATTGTTGCTGAAAATTGTAGTTGTTGTTCAGTATATTAGAGAAGCTTATGTTGCGAGAAAAAATATAAATCTAAATAATAAATCTTTATTATATAAATTTATTGGATGAATCAGATGTTACTTTCAAAAGAAAAGACATAATACGCACTCGCTATCCAAAAATAAAATAGATAAAGTTAAACAATTAAACATAATCAATTTAAAATAAATACTTTATTTAAGCTACCAATAAATTTAATATGAGAAAAAATAAAGAGGTAATAGAAGAAGAAATAACTTGCGTTACTGTTAATCAATCTCAAAACTCCGACATTAATTTGTGTATTAGTACGAAAGACAACGTATTGTTATCAAGTGCGTCGTCAAATGAAATAAAATTAAAAAAAGCTGCTGCTGAGAGTGCTACGTCCGAAACCAAAGACACAAAGTTTAAAGAAAGTTTTGGTACTTTCTTTTATAAAGTTGCTGGGACGGATGAATTAATTGACTCTTTTGAACTTCAAAACGTTTTAAAAATGATATTTAACTCAAGTGGTATTTTAATTAGCATGGAAACTAGTCGAAGTATTCTCGCGTTTTCTGATTCTAATAGAGACGGGCGACTTAGTTTTAACGAATTTAAGAACTTATGGTTTAGTGTAATAAAGTGGAAAAAGTGTTTCGAGAAATCAGACTTAGACAAAGATAAAATGATAAATAAAACGGAGATGAATATTGCTCTTGAAGATATAGGATTTCATGATATTAGGCCACTCACAATAGAAGCAATATTTGCGCGATATGGTAATAAAAAAAACCTATTAAACATGGATGACTTTATACAAGTTTTATGTAAGCTTACCTCAGTTGCTAGATGGTCAAAAGAATTTGATAAAAAAATGACATTAGACAGTTTTTTAAAAGAACTTTTGTATTGTTAGTCATAAACTTTATGTAAAAACTATACTAAAGAAATTTAGGTTTCTTGTACATAATATTAAAATTAGTGTATAAAATAACTTGTAATGTCATCCAGTAGGCACCATTTAGGCATCATCCAGTAGGCACCATTTAGTGGAACTCACAAGGACATCCAACTCCCACTAGATAAAATGAACATGATTATTTTAATTAGATGCAAAGATTAACACATTTTATGTTACATAAATTTAACCACGAAACAATAAAAATGTAAGAATTTGTTTTTTGAATTTGTGTCTTCATGTTTGTTTTTATTAATAGATGCATAATTTATATAATACTCTGTGAAACAAAGCTGAAGTAAAAAAAAAAAAAAAAAAAACTTAAATGAGTTGTATAGATTTTTGTTTTAAATATACATAAACGTCACAAATAATACAGTTGTATTGTATTATTTTCTAATCAAAGATAAAAACTGCGCATATATTAGGGTTGTTCGCCGAAAAACAAAACTTCGCATCTTTATCTACCGTAATAGAATTGTTATTGCGGAATTTGCACATGCAAAAATGCACATTCCGTAACGCGCTATACGAAAATATAAATAAATAAAATTCCGTAATAAAGCATTGCGAAAGAAAACTTGCGAAACAAATCATTTCGTAAGAATACTTACGAAATAGTTCCTTACGGAAAAAGCATTCCGGAATGTGCAGTTACGAAAAAGACGCAAAAGATTTTATGTTACGATATATTTAAGATATTAACTGTTAACAGTTTGAATAATAAATAATAAAATTATAAAAAAATCTTGTCAAATGATTCTTCAAATGTTTATACAAATATACCTAATATATATATATGTATATGTGTATATATATATATATATATATATATATATATATATATATATATATATATATATATATATATATATATATATATATATATATATATAATATATATATATATATATATATATATATATAGTCAGCAAAGAAAATTATATATAAAATATCTTCAATTTCTTATGAAAAAGGTATACAGTTTTTCAAAAAAAAAATTTTTGTAAAAAGAAGTTTTTTAAGTGTGCGTAGTAAGTTTATAGTAAATAAATAAAATATTATAATAAAATTTCTTTAATTTGTAACCAGTTAAAGTTTTGTAAAAGCCATAAAATTTGCCATTAAATTGTTTTTAACAGTTACCCGGGCAAGCAATTTTGCGATTTTTGACAGCCTTAAAAACCACCAAACCTCCCTCGGTAAATATGCAATTATCAAAATAGGAATGACGTAGTGGAGCGTAAAATTTTGTGACATAAGTGTATAACGGTTATTTATGAAGCTTTAAATCTCAGCTAATAAAATTATTTTACAATTTTTTTTTGATAAAAAATTTAAAACTTTTTTTTCATTATGAAAATGAATAAAAAAAAAATCGTTATGAATTTTTTTTTAAGTACCAAAAATATAATGCAAAAGTTTCTTTATTATATTTTATATTTTTATTTATTTATTATATTATTATATTTATTATAACATATTATATTTTTTTTTATTATTTAGTATTGTACTTTTTTGAATATTATTAGTTTTATTGAAATGATTTTTGTGTGTCCTATATGAACAGCAAGTTATTTTTATAATTAACTATATTACAACAATTATATCTAGCTATTTTTCAATGATTGTTTTATTTTTAAGCTTAATTATTGTTTGCCTTATTTAAAAAAGCTAAATATTTCTTTATTTTATTTTTTATTGCTTTTTTTTTTTAGAGTATGGGCGTGTAGTTTATGCAGATATGTGATTTTTTTGAGAGCGTAATATTTCAACATGTTCAAATAATAGATAGCGAACATTTTTTCATTTTTAGAACTGTGCAACTGAAGAATAACTGCTAGTCTTTAACTGTCCCGTTTTACCCCACTTACTTACTTGCCACCACCTACTTGTTTGCCACTACTTACTTGCTTATATAGGGTTTCGTTGCTTAAGTTTCAATTTTATGAATTAGTTTATTGTATGAATTTTTTAAAACCTTAAGACTTTTGCTAATGAAAACATTGTTTACAAAAATAGTTTTGCATGAACATGGCTGTGAATCGTTTGAGGAAGTTCTGCATTTTTTGAGAAAAAAGTTTTTCATCGTTTAATAATATGGTTCTACAAAGTTTAAGAACAAGATTCTGCATAAGTTGAGAATATTGGGATTAATTGAAATTTGTTTTGGAATTAAGTAGCTACACAGTTGTTTTTTCATTGTCTTATTTCATTTTTTATTGCTGTGCTGTATCGGCTTATAATATTATTTAATATATTAGATATTTTATGATTATTTTTGGAAAACAATAACTTCATCTTTTTGTTTTTCATTCTCTATAGCTTAAGAGTATGCTCTAGCTATGTTTATGAACATAGATTTGCTTTGTTTATTGATACAAACTTTTTGCTTTAAAAAAAGATATTAGTTGTGTATATACGTCGTTCTTTTAACAATTTGTTGAACTCGTGTAGAAAGTCAGATGCTTTCGATAAATATTAAAAAAAAAATTCTTCTTATAATATCTTGTTTAATCTCCCTCGTATAATATGCATTCTTTACGCTAATTTCTTCTGACTGTAAAAATAATTTAAACAAATTGAAAAGAAAAATTTACAAAATAAAAAAAAAACTGAATTTTTTTTTAATGAAAACACACACACATACATATATATATATATATATATATATATATATATATATATATATATATATATATATATATATATATATATATATATATATATATATATATATATATATATATATATATATATATATATATATATATATATATATATATATATATATATATATATATATATATATATATATATATATATATATATATATATATATATATATTTTTAGTTTACATGTCGTATAATATAAATTTGGAATCAGCAGATCTTACTTAACCATAAAATAATTGAAATAAAAATATAATATAAAATAAAACACGAAAAAAATTAAATCTAAAATAGTTTAGATAATATACGATTAAAATATTATTATCTCAAAAATAATTTTGTATTCAGAGTTGCATAACCCCCGAGCAGAATATTTAAGTCCTTTAATATCAATGTAATCGAGAACCTAATTTTTATAAAAATATATTTTTGTATCAGCATCCTTCCTAAAATATTTCTGTATTCGTCACTCTATACTAACCGTTAAAAAAAATGTTTTAACATTAAAGTTTTGCACCATGGACTCTCTAACGTGTAAAAAAATAGTTTCACCTAACGCAAAATTTAATTAAATTTGTTATAACATGTAATTTAGTTAAAATTTTTAAAGTTTTGAAAAAACATAATCTTTCTGTTTTTTAAACATTTTATGATTATGATTTTTCTTTAGAAAAAGGAAAGAACATAATCTAACAATTTTAAAAAACAACTGAGTTTCAAATAAAAATTGACCGTCTTCTGGTCTTCTGGAACTTTACTGAATTAACTTTAAATAAGTTCAATTCAATAAGTCCTCTATTTAGCTAATTTTCTTTAATACTTGGTTATGAGTTTTCGTCATCAATGTCAAAGAAGCAACGAAATCAATGATTTTCAAATTGAAATACTATTTGAGGTATTAGAAGTGCAATTTATTAATATAGACTAAAAGATTTTTTTAATTGCCAGTTTGTTTGAGGATCCAGGAATTTTGTTGGGGAATAGGGGGATGTTGAAATATTTTTATACTTTGTATCCCATTTGCGACTTCAAAAAAAAGGTTCTCCACTTCACATATATTTTTGTATTTTCAAACTCTGGTAGGGAGGAGGGGAGGAAGCATCATCCCCTTACTTATTACTTCCTCTTCTTTCTCGATCCGTCACTGGAGCTGCTCTAATTTAGCTCTGTAAACTTCTTCATGATTCTTCGACTAACCTCCAACTTTAATAGTGGTTGCTTTCAGCTTTATTAAAAAATTAAAAAAAAAAAAAATTAATTATTCGAAAAGCAAAAGCTTTTTAATATTAATTGGAATGAATAAAATAAAAAGCTATAAAAGTCATTCAATAAACTCGATCTGTTTTATTACAAAATTTAACGTAAAACGGACATATACATATATAAAATATAACTTTTAAAAATTTTTTTTTTTTTTCATTTAATATTTTACAAATATTCACACACTTAATTAAAATAAATTAATTAATTATCTTAATATACGCTGATTTCTTTAATACAAAATAAATTTTGGTTTATTGAATAACTATATAAAAGTATATTTTAAAATCATGCAAGTGTGTTAAAAACAAACGTAAAACGTTCTTTGAAAGAAATGCAAAAATATATAAATAATCAATTTTACTTTTTATTTAATATAAGTTATTATTTAAAAAATTAAATGTATAAAGGCAGTGGGGGAACTTCAAATTTTGCTCCCCTCCCCCACTGCAAAATACCTTTTAGGCCCCCACCACAAAAAGGAAAAAATAATTTTTATCTAAATATATTAGTTTTACCTAATTATAATATATAAATGTCAAAAAATATTGGTCCCCTACAGCTCTGTAGCTCGCCGCATTGCGGGATTTGCGGTATGGTAGTTCCGCCACTGTATAAAAGTCATTCAATATATTCAATGTTCAATTATGTTCAATAGATCAGTTTTAGATTAAAATTCAACGTAAAACGGACATATACATATATAAAATATATCTTGTGCTTTTTTCTTTTTCTTTTTATAAAAATATTTATATAATATTTAAACACTTAATAAAATAAATTAACTAACTTAATGAATAATATTTTTTTCACGTAAAAATAGTTTTTGGTTTTTGAATAAGTATATATAAGTATATTTTTAAATATACTTATATATATAGTGTATATTTAAAAATAAAGTGCTTTAAAAACAAACGTAAAACAGTCTTTTTCTTTATTTTGTCTTTTCTTTTTCAAATTTTTAATTTCAAGTTAATTAACAGAAACAAAACACATTACTTCGCATTGTTTTCTTATGATAAATTTTGTATATAATTGCAAACCATAAGTTTCTTTATTCAAAAAGCAAGTAAAAAATTAATTCAAAAAGTAAGTAAAAAATTAATTCAAAAAGTAAGTAAAAAATTAATTCAAAAAGTAAGTAAAAAATTAATTCAAAAAGTAAGTAAAAAATTAACTTAAAGCGGACATTAATAAAAATATGAAATTATGAATAAAAAAGCAAATAAACGAAAGTTTAGGTTCTTCATAACTTAAATGTTAACACTAATAATAATAATAATAATAACAATATTAACTAATTTGCAAACTAATAAGTTTTCAAGTCGAAAATGCGTTTTAGAGAAAATAGAAAACTGTTCCGTTTTCTATGATCAAAACTGATTGTATATGTTGTATAAGATATACACTTTATAAAATATTGGATTATTGTTTTATATAAGGTACCACTAAACTTATATAGCAAATAAATATTATTTATTAACAATTATAACTCAAATAAAAAAGAAAAAGTTTCAAACAAACTATGAAAAACCAGATTTTTATAAATGTCTGTTTAAGGACACATTTTTACTACTACCCAGTGGGCATTTCGACGTCGAACGAAAATCGAGCGACGTCGGATCTCGACGTCGGATCGACGTTGGGTTTACGTTGGAAATGGAAATGTTATTTGACGTCGGATAAACTGACATCGCACGACGTCGGCATTCCGATGTAAATCCAACGTGTTTTTTGAAAACTAAAAAACGCTGCCTTAGGCAGGAATCGAACCTCGGTCTATCGAAACTAAACCCTACGCGCTTACCACTACACCAGAGGGACATATTAAATTACGTGTTTATTTAGTAATTTATACTTGTAGCTATTTGGGAATTATTACTTTGATAAGAAATAATTTTGTTTAATTATTATATAAATATTAAAACGAATAGTTATATATTATAAAAAATGTATACTCGAAAATGTTAATAGTTAAAAAACTATGCTAGTGCATCATACAAAACCTCATGATGTTTTATCAACCATTATTCAAACTTCTTTCCATTAATAAAAAACACGCTTAGTTAACATATTTATTGAAGAGCGCAATTGCACACATATTGTTGGGTTTGGATTAAATTTTCATCAGCGATGTCTTACGACGTTGTTCCGACGTCGTTTTAAGGACGTTGGATTGACATCGGAAGACGTCAAAAGAAATCGGAGTACGTTAATATTATGACGTTGCCCGACGTCTTTTTATCGACGTTAGATCGATGTCAGTACTGCGACGTTTTTTGGACGTCTTTTAAAAGATGTCGGAAAAACGTCAAAATACATTGAAACGACGTCAGGGGATGTTGAGATAAAGACATCGCCCGACGTCATTTTACTGACATCGGAACAACGTCGGAATAGGTCTTTTGACATCGCTGATGAAAATCGCACGTAAATCCGACGTCGGATTGACGTCGGGTGCCCACTGGGTAGGAGATATACACTGATAAAAAAAGAAAGCAAAAAATTTGAAGAGATCTATCAACCAATCGCATTTTTATTATTTATATTTACTTTATAAACAATTTTAAAGCAATAGACTAATTTTTAATAACTTAAACCAAATAACTTTGCTAAAATTTAATCGCAAAACGCAAAGCGGACAGCAAATTGTCCGTTTTACGAAACGGTCCGTTTTAGGGTGGATTTTTTATACATATATGTCCGCTTTAAACTGATTTACAAACATATATATATATATATATATATATATATATATATATATATATATATATATATATATATATATATATATATATATATATATATATATATATA